AAAATTCATAATTCATTAATCACTTTCAAATCATCGGGGCAATCAATTAAATTCCAAGTAGGTATGCTCAATTTCATGAAAAGTATAAAAATTCAGAACTTCAAATCAGTCATACTTGTGTAAAACGGGTTTAGTCCCGCCACCACTTCAAAAACAAATCAAAACATGCTTTTAAAACTGTACGGGCATTACCATAAATTTACTTACCTCACTCGCATAAAACCGAGCACTCAATTCACGTACTAACTGACAGAACGATCAGGAACCTACTCAAAATATTCCACAATTAATATCGGACTATCACAAATTCACACTAAAATCATCATTAAGATCACTCCTAATCCCGATGCTATTTCCATAAATCTCCACATGATCAAATATCTCCAAATTCATTCTTATATCACAAACTAATCATTTAAATCCCCGTTAATTGTTGGCCCTCGGGGTGTGAACAGTAACCTGCGAACAGTACCCCGACGTGAACAGTAACTGCACTTCCAAAATTGGCCAAAACACTAGATAATCTCACGGGGTTTTTCTCCAAAATCACCACAACCCAATTCAAGCTAATTTACACTTAAACCAAGCTTAAAACATGTTCAAAGGCTACCGGAATTCCCCCCATTTTTCCAACACAATTCGGACATACAAGGCAGCAAACTAAACGGACAATTTAAGCCTTAAAAGGCTATCACATACCATAATTCTCCAGCTATAGAAACCAGAGCTGCGGGGGGGGAAGAGGCCGGCGGCAAGCTGCAGGGAAAGCTCACGGGTTTACCCAAAAATTGGAGGAACAAGAGTAATTAAAGTAAACGCAGGGCAATTCAAAGCTAGATAAGGGAGAATTCGAGCTATTTCTTACCAAAAAATCGAGCAATTCGCCCCCACAAAGCAGGAGCAGCCGGCGGTGAAGAAGCAGAGCAAGGCAGATCCGGAAGCTCTTGCAGGGGAGGAGATTTCTGGGTTCCAAATCAGGTTCTTGGACAAGAAAATAAGGGAAAATCATCAAGCTTTACCGGTTTTTCAAGGGAGGAAGTCGCCAGCAGCTCAGGGGCTTTGTTCGGTTGCAGCGGGAAGAAGAAGAGCAGAATCGGGAAACGGCTGGGGAAGAAAAGAAGGAAAAAGAAAAAGAAAAGAAACTAATCCTTATCCAAAACTCTTCCACTTTTAAGTCCCTCAGCTTTCAAAATATTCACATTAAGCCCCAAAACAATGTTTTCCCACAATTTAGTCCCTAACTCACTTATTTATTCTAGAAATTTTTGGGGTATTACATCCACCCCTCCTAAAAAGGAGTTTTGTCCCCAAAACTCAAATTGAGGACCATTTCGAGTGGTGAGTGGCTTCACACAATCCGAGACAAAACAATTGCCCCACCGACTTTCTATGAACAAACACAGCCTACTACGCTTCCGCTGCGCCACTCTGATATCAAATCACAACTAATCTTAGAAAGCAGAACACTTAACTACTTACTAGGGTTTATCATGAAATGAGCTACTAGAGGCTGGGGTGACACAGGGAGCACAAGGAATAAAAATAAATCCTGCCAAAGCCACAGAAGAACAATTGTGGGGTTACGCTACGAACCCATCACAAGACAAGTTGGCAAAGAATGGCATGGATTTACAGACGAGTACAACAAAACTTTGAACTCTATCAAAGACGGATAAGCATCCAATGAATATATGGATCATAAATGAATGAACAAGTGCATGGATGCCTTATAAATTATGCCACAAAACAAGGTTAACCAGAACCAAAATCATGTTTAACAAACAACTGGAATCAAGAGACAAATTTTAGCAATTAACAAGAGTTAAAAGCTGGACCCATCAAAAGACATGTAAGAATCTCAAGAACTGCAACATAATAAAATCAATGGAAAATATGAATGCTTGGAAGAATGCCGGAACACAAGAGTGCAAGGTAGAATGCCTCAAAAAATTCAACAACAAAACGGCATTCACCAAGAATCAAGGTCAAATTTAACCAAGCAATCAAAATTGAGAGACAAGAGTTAACCATGAAACAAACAATAGAATTCAAGGATTAAGCCCACAAAAGAGATTTCAATAATGACAATGAGAACAAGAATTCAAGAGCAGATATAATCAGGAGATCAAGATCTAGCACCTCAAGTACTAGAATTAATTAACAGAACAAAGCAATGACTGGGATCAAGATGCTTAGAAGATTCATGTCTTCCAATTAAAAGGGCAAACAAAAATCCAAGCAGCTAGATCAAAGAACCATTTCACTTGGAACAAAACTCTAGGGCATCAAGTATTTCAAATATTACCCCTTCACCTCGTAGCTCATGGAGGCTAAGCAAATTTACCATCAGATCATCCTAGACATCTTAGAGTCAAGTCAAACCTAAGACATCCAGAATACAGAGATTAACACTTGCAAGAGACAAGAATTTAGAATACCTCATATAGGTATCTTCTAATAATCGTCACCCCTTCTAAAGAGGTGTCCATATGAACAAAAACCAAGAATCAAGAAGATCAACAGGTATACCAAAACAAGAACTAGCAAAATATGCAAGATTTGAGCAAGAGCAGTATACCGAATTTGAACAAGAGCCAGTGTCAGAACAAGAATGGTTTCAAGGACAATTCAAACTAGATTCCAAAGACAGTGCAAGAATTAATTTCAGACAAGTATCAAGATAATGAGGATTCCAATAATCATTATCCATTTCCAGATTTCAGTTTCAAGAACAAGTACAAAGCAATATCAAGAAAGATTCAAGATGGATTTCAAGAGTTTCAAGCAATTTCCAGATATCAAGAATGTAGAGATTGGCAACAATAGAGTTTAACTTTATGACAGTTTGCCAATCTTCACAAAGAGACAACAATTTCAATTGAATGATCACTGTTCTTGATTAACCAATATAGAAAAATGAGCCACATGAAAAGACCATGAAGCTCCAAATGGAAAAAAAGTGAAACTTCACTATAAGACTTTCAGAAAGATCATGAGCAACGAAATTACCAAGTTATCCAGCTCTTAAAACACATCTAGAAAAACACACAACATTGGCTAAAATAGCCTTGAATCTCTTGCAAAGTAGAGGGTTTACCCATCCTCCACTGGTCATGTGACAAACAGAACAAATTTCTCAACCAGCTATGTGGTAGAGACCAACAGAGTCAATAACAAAAGATCTCTACAACTCCCTAGATTTCAACATTGTGGCAAAAGAGCATACAAAAATTCTATTCACGTAACAAGTCTAAACAAGTGCAAACTATCAGAAAATGACCAAGTTTCAAAACAAGGTCTTCAGGACATAACAGGCAAGATTAATCTCATGGATCTACACAGGGTATATAAAGGCAGGAAACAAGAACAATCAGATTATCATCTCATCAAAATGGATTACAAAATTCAGGCAACAGGAATCAGAATCGTCCCTTATATAACCCCATCACTCGTCTCACCACATTCTAACATCCATTGGCTAGCCAAGTCCAAAACAAATCCTAGGTATTCAATTAAACCTAGGTATTCAATTAAATCAATGTTCTGATACCACTCAATCTGCTTTGATGCCACTCAATTTGGAGGTGCTTAACTTAATCCTAAGCTCTTAATTTAAACCTGAGCTCTTAATTTCAACCTAAGCTCTGATACCACTGAATCTGTCATGCCCCAAAACCCAATTTCGAGACACGACAGACGCCGTGCACTCGTGAGACGGGTCCCACAAATGCACAAGGCTCGGAACTTATCACATTCACACTCTGATACCATCAAAATCTGAAGATCAAATTATAAAATCTCTCTGATATCA